ACCTGCTTCAGCTGGACCCAAACATAGTATCAACTTACTAGCCTACCGCTGCCCAGTTTTACATCCAATTTCTATTAGGTCTGTCAAGGCTCTGTCCCACACATGTGACTTAAAGGCCCTATCGTCTCATATGAGACGTGAGACATCGCGACGCTTCCGTATAAAGTTTCCATATAAAATGTATGAAACAGAACAGACGCCGTATTCACCCGTAAGACGCGACTCATTGCCGACGACTGACGATCACTTGTCTGACATATCTTATTTTACGTCTCGCGTCTCACATCTCATATTTCCACATGCGCCGAGGTATGGCTAAAGGTTGAATGAAACTCATCTGCTGTTATTCAGCCACGGAATGTCTGTGTTGTCATATTTTCGCGTTGAGTTGTTATATTTACGTACATTCGAAAATCTCCTCTGAGTGGGTTATCGTGTAATTGACAGAATAGCTAGGAATATTAAGCAACCTATCTAACAACCTATGCACATTTCTAGGAAACGGGCTATTTCGGTAGATAGCTAATTATGCTAGTTCAACTATGAGGTTGCATACACAAACACAGGGTGAGTTTAGAGCTTATCACACAAACTTATAGAGCGTATAGGACGCCGGGCTGATGCGCAGCAAATTCATCGCGGACGTGCGGCAGATTCGCATCGTTTTGGTACAGATACGGCTGGTAAACGCCGCGCGTCCGCGAAGGTCGCTGCGCATCCGCCAGGCGTCCGCTCCTCTCCACATCCGCTCGCAATCGCAAACCGCTTTCGTATTTATAACTACACTAGCTACCCGTCAGCGGTTTCACCCGCTGCAACCTATTATTCCGCGGGAAAAAGCATTATTCGCCAAGAGATGTCGCTGTTAGTTTTCGGCGAAAACGTTTAAAACGCGAATCGGCTCAGTCACGCCACCTATTTCAAAAATATTGGAAAATGCGTGATCCCGTGGGAATGAGACATTTTTCCGTGGTAAAAAGTATCCTATGTGTTATTCCAGATGCCCTTTTATATTTCTGCAAAGTTTCATGTCAATCTAATCAGCCGTTTTTGCGTGATGTCGTAACAAACACACACACAAACATCCGCCTTTATAATATTAGTAGGATTATTTTGGGGAGTACCTGCCCACCACGTTTTTGACCAATACGTTAATAAATTAAACCATCGATCATCAATTTATTTTAATCAGGCCGATAAAACATTATCTCGTAATTTAAAGTTAATTAAATAAACATTTTGGTAACATACGTCAAAGTTAATTACGTAGTGGATGAAATTACGCTGTTTTCTGGGAAACCGTGCCAATGTTGTCATTCCAAGTTTTGAAATAAATTGTAACAGCAATTAATTAAATGATGCTATTTCGATGCGGAACTTCGATAAATATACTTGATTTGAAATCAGCGATACAATAAACTTGTAAAATAGGTTCATACCTAAATATTTTATCGCCGATGTTCCAAGTTATATTCGTAAATTCGAGAATCCAGTTTTCTTTCCTACACTCGCTAGCTATGGTGCTGAGCTTAGTGTAGAAAACCTTTCAAACCCCATACTTACGATATTGCATTCGAAACAGCAAACGGAATGCAAAAATAAGCCAAAACTCGCAACCTTAATCCGGAAGAAATCTGAACCGAATCCGGCCCTGAGTGCATCCTTGTATGAAGGCCCGGATAAGGCAGGTGCAAGGCGATGATAACGCGTACGATGTTTGCCCGGTTACCGGTTACCAGCCGGATATACCCGGCCGGATCGGCTACACTTACCGCGTATATTCTCAATACCAGATTGAACCGGTTGATGCCTTGATTTGAATCGAGATTTGTATGGCTTTTGTATCGGAGATGATCCTTTGTTATACGATGCAGGCCGCGTCTATTGTGGTAGCAGTTTCATGGCCCATATATTGTTCTAAGGTTTTACGTCGCGCACAATGTCGTTGAGCATGGATCACATGTAACGTCCGTTGGTGCGCTATTTTAGCGCTTCATAATTTACGTTAGGAAAATGCGAAGTTCCACCTTATTTTCATACTATTACGGTTTACCTACCTATGTCAAGACGCATTCGTCGACACAACGTTGTGCAATAAGCAGCGTTAGTGAATGCAGCTGACAATCCTTTTTGACTGAAACCGTATTTGTATGAAAATCAGGTGAAAATTTGGATTTTCCTATCGCATGCATTACGCTTACGAAGCGCTAAAATACCGCAGCAACACTTGTTATGTGTGATTCCCGTCAATAAGGTCCCTTTTCAATGTTAAAGTTAACGGGTGTAGACTTAGTTACATGTATGAAAGGGCAAAATTAATTACTTATTAGAAAATTGGGTACTGCGAAGGTAAAGGTTAGGTTCCTCGGTGGGAGTCGTCAACTGTGTTGTGATTATAGAAAGACTAAATTATGTTAGGTAAATCCCTACTGGGTGGGATATTATTATTCCAAAACTTATAGGTAGCGTTGCAGTAGGTAGAGGTCACATCTATAAAACTTTGGTTGCTACGCCGTAGCCATGCTACGGAGAGTATCGCAAACCATTTTCATTCATTACTCTATGTACTGCTCGATAGAAAATCACGACAACACAAACCTGGAAAAGCAAGGTAAAGCTTAATTAATGAAAATATTTCAATTTATTTAAATTGTTTATAGGCGAGATAATGGTGTAAAATTGGTAAAACAATTAAACTTTCTAAGAAACTGTTATTACGTTAGATTTCAACAGATTTAATTAGCCCGAAACGATTCCGCCAAGCGCCGCTCAGACAGAACGGCAGACGATTCAGCCAGTTAAGGGATCCACTAAGAAGTTACAATTGAACGAAACGGTCACATTACGCGGAGTCGGCAACGCGCTAAATAAGTAGAAATCACAATTGGCAAGCAACTGTGCTCCGGCGGTCGTCAGCACATTAACTAGACGTGATACAGTAAATCGACGTGGCCCAGAGAAAGTTCTTTAGGCAGAGATGGACTAAGGGACTGTAAGGGGACCCCAACTATATCTAGACCATTTAAACAGGACGCTAGACAAGTGGGAATGACAGATGGTAAGCAACTAAAGTAGTATTATAAAAAGTACTCTGTGGCAACTGTGCTCCGGCGGCGACCGTCAGCACATTAACTAGACGTGATATAGTAAATCGACGGGGCTCAGAGAAAGTTCTTTAGCGCAGAGACGGACTAAGGGACTGTAAGGGGGCACCAACTATATCTAGCTATCTAGGTAATTTTTACGCAGAACGCTAAACAAGTAGGAATAAAAATTGGCAAGCAACTGTGCTCCGGCGGCCGCCGTCAGCACATTAACTAGATACAGTAAATCGACGTGGCCCAGAGAAAGTTCTTTAGTACAGAGACGGACTAAGGGACTGTAAGGGGACCCAACTATATCTAGGTAACTTTTACATGGGGTGCTAGACCAGTAGGAATGACAGTTGGTATCTAGGTAGCATTAACGTGGGGTGCTAAACAATTAGAAATCACAATTGGCAAGCAACTGTGCTCCGGCGGCCGTCAGCACATTAACTAGACGTGATACAGTAAATCGACGTGGCCCAGAGAAAGTTCTTTAGGACAGAGACAGACTAAGGGACTGTAAGGGGACCCCAACTATGCCTAGATCATTTTTACGCAGGACGCTAAACAAGTAGGAATGACAGTTGGCAAGAAACTGTGCTGCGGCGACCGTCAGCGCATTAACTAGACGTGATACAGTAAATCGACGTGGCCCAGAGTAAGTTCTTTAGAGCAGAGACGGACTAAGGGACTGTAAGGGGACCCCAACTACCTCTACAGTACGCGAATGAGTTCTTGGCCATCGGGGAATGAGGAGGCGCGCGGGGGCGGCGCGCCCCGCGGTTACCCAACTACCCGCATTCGCCCGCAGTCGAGTGATGGGAAAAAAGTGTGTCACAAAGTTGTCGATATTTTGTCGTTGTGTTGTGTTTTGTGTAGAAACCATAAATACTTCTTTAATATTATTCACAAACAGTGAAGTTACAGTTCGAACAAACTATGGCTAAAAAGGCCCCTTTAATAAGCAAATGTCTCGAGACATATACATTTTAGTTACTTTGTTTTAAAGAAACCTGCCCTTAGTTTATAAAGACCTATTCAACGATACCCTACCTACTCAATATTGTAGGAAAAACAACCCATTAACTAATAACTATGAGTAGTCTGAACTGTTCGGCAACAATTCTCGATATCGACATCAACATGAATTAGTCACAGCACTACCGCATTCCTCAACATGGTCATGAACTCATTCGCGTACTGTAGGCAACTTATACGCGGGATGATAGTTCAGTAGGAATTACAGTTAGTAAGAAGCAACTGTGCTCCGGCGGCCGACAGCACATTAACTAGACGTGATACAGTAAATCGACGTGGCCCAGAGAAAGTTCTTTAGGGCAGAGACGTACTAAGGGACTGTAAGGGGACCCCAACTATATCTAGGTAGCTTGTAGGATGCTAGACTAGTAGGAATGACCGTTCGCAAGCAACTGTGCTCCGACGACCGTCAGCACATTAACTAGATGTGATACAGTAAATCGACGTGGCCCAGAGAAAGTTCTTTAGGGCCGAGACGGACTAAGGGACTGGAAGGAGGCCTCAACTATATCTAGATCATTTTTACACAGGACACTAGACAAGTAGGAATGACAGTTGGTAAGCAACTGTGCTCCGGCGACCGTCAGCACATTAACTAGACGTGATACAGTAAATCGACGTGGCCCAGAGAAAGTTCTTTAGAGCAGAGATAGACTCAGGGCGCGTAAGGGGGCAGCAAATATAACTAGGTAACATTAACTTGGGGTGCTAAATAATTAGAAATCACAATTGGCAAGCAATAGTGCTCCGGAGACCGTCAGCACACAGTAAATCGCCGTGGCCCAGGGAAAGTTGACGGACTAAAGGAGGCACCAACTATAAAGATAAATTTACCCGTATCCTCACAAGTGAAAATATGAAATAGAAAAAATGTCATACATCCACCGGGAATCGAACCCGGGCCGCATGGGTAAACGCCCCACCGCTCTGCCACTGAGCTATCGATGCACCGGTTCATGAATGCCAAATTTTCTATCTTTTGCGCAAGAGATAGAAAATTTGGAATTCATCAACCGGTGCATCGATAGCTTAGTGTTGCCATGCGGCCCAGGTTCGATTCCCAGTCGATGTATGACATTTTTTCTATTTCTTTTTTTCACTTGTGAGAATAATATAGCACTGTGAGTGCATTACAATCGCAATAGATTACCCGCATCCAATTATAGCAACGTAGGTTTTGTCCATATTCGAGCATCATAATTTATCCTTAATTTATTGATTGGTTGACGAATAGTGCAGCAGTGGACTATTGTGTCTTTAAAGGTAAGGTGTATTTTTAATTGTCGTCACATTATTAGATACTAACACAGCTGCCCTAGCGACCTAAAATATTCTAAGGCTCATTATAAGCTCATTCCGTTAATCTATATCCTGCACCAGCGCTGCTAGTAATTGGCTTAAAGATAGCGCAGTTTAGCTTCCCCTACGTCTACAGAGACAGTATAAGTTAAAAAAATATCAAGTTATTTTGAATATTACGTACTCCTGTCGCTCACATACTCAAAGCAGGTCTTGGCTTTCGTCGCGAGCTTCGGCTACTTACCCGATCCTGGGACGCTTCACGCGAGTCTATCACTTGAAGATCGCGCAAGTCAGACTGAACGACATCGCTCCAGCGGTATCTTGTAGGACGGCTGACCTTGGTCTATTGACGACAATGATTGACGAGAATGAACGTGGCCCATTCTAAATTTCCTAAGTACAACCCTGGCGCCAGAGGTTCGGATTACGGGCACCGAATGAAAACGGCCTGCTAATGAGAATCGCAAGTTAATTGCCGCTCCCCGCGCGCCGCACCCCCTCACACACCCACTATTCAGCCGAGGGTGCTGATAAGAGCACAATGCTGCGCGTTAAACAACTCCCAAATGAAAGAAACCGCGCCAAGAGGAATGCTAAGTAGGGTACCCACTGGGTACTCCAGCGGCCGTTCCGAGAGCAGCGGTCTAATTGAGAGTTATAACTGGCGACTGGCGACTGACGACTGTTATAAAAAGTTGTAAGGCTGTCTACAGAAGGCGGTTTTTATGTTTGACTTTGAAATAGAACCTTTGGTTTCTGTATAATTCACGCCGTGGCCAAAAAATCGCTCTAATCACATATACAAACATATACAAAAGAAAGAGATGCACAATGATTTGTACAGAGATAAAATAAAAGAATAACTCAAGAGACTTTCTAGTTGATTTGGATTTCGGGTCGGCCATCTGCAACTTAGATAGAAGAAGCTGGTTTTAATATCCGCTACCTTGCCGCTACCAGGGTATTTCATCTATTCGTGCATACTCATCACACGATAACAACTACCTATAGTCAACCTATACCTAGCCGAAAAGACCGGCGGCCGTATGGCCACTCGCTACATTTGCGGCAGTAAGGATTCCTTTTCTTACTTGAGTTTTAAAATCAACTCTAACTTTTTGATTTTCCTCTGTGATTTAATAAGCAGCATCGTAAATTCCCGAATCACAGAAAAAGAGGAAACCGCAAGGAAATTATATTTCACACATAACAGCCCCCGGCGACGGCCGACGAGAAACGATAATGACCTTACAAAATGTTTACGTAAGGAATTGGCATTAGCAATGTTTGGCAAATACGGGCTGCGACCGAACCCTGCATGTAACAGGAAATCTAATAACCCAGAACGAGTACGCCGAATAAATTTCTTGCACACTCGCCTCCATTCGGCCCTTTTTGGAATTCCGTATGTCTAACGCGTTTGTTTTTTATCAGTTTAGGACACCAAACGGTTTCGGTGGCGCAGGTTTCCGATTCTATCTCATTTCCTTTCAAATCTTTCCTGTCCTTTAAAAGTTTTTATGGCATTATTCGTTTTACGCGAATTTCCTGGGACTTGTTTGATTCGATTTGTGTTTTTAGCTTTCCCTGTGGCTTTTCTGGGAAAAATTTGTAAGAAATTCTTTTGTTTATGACTTGCTTGAAAAACTTGAAATTGTCGAAGAAAATTTGAGAAAATGTAACTCTACAAAATGTGTTATTTTCAGAGAACAATCCGGAAATCATTTAACTTGATTTGTTGTTTAAACCTTTTTTAAACGATTTCGGAAAAACGAAGAATAAATTGGAGACGTCAACACCCGCGCGCCGTTTTACGTTTCCCTAATTTGTGCGGTGCGTCATCTACCTACCTAAATTATTTGTCATATATTTTTGACGTCTAGGTACATATTGTATAATTAAAATGTCTCATTTTAATAGGATCAAATATTGTTTGAAATTATTGTTCCCGTGGTCGGAAGACAAACTGATTACAAGTAGACAACAGACTGCTTGGTTAGCAAAGGTGGGTGCAGCAGACAAATGTGTATCGAGTGGGGAGAAGACCGCGGCTACCGCACGGCCGGCGTCGCTTGGCTCACCCCAGGGATGCGACTTTAGTAACAAAATATAGAGGGTGTTAAGGACGGTGTACCGAAAACTTTGCAGGCATGATCAGACCACCAAACTGAACAACTTTTACTATGGAGCCAATGGTGGAAAACGAAAAAAAATTTCCGACCTCCCATACAAAATTCACGATCAATTGAAGAAGAATTTTTTTTTCGTTTCCCACCATAGTAAAAGTTGTTCAGTTTCATGGTCTGAGCACGCCTGCAAAGTTTTCGTTACACCGTCCCAAACACCCCAATAGATTTTCCAATAGTTGATTATTTCAAATCAGCCAAAAAATCGATTAAATATAAATCTAGCTTTTTTCCAAAGGAAACATCGGATTTTCCACATATTTTACTTGGTTATACGTAATAATATTTTTATCATATAATTTTCGGTAGAAGGATAATAAACATCATGCCGTCCGAACAAAATATTACAAGGAACCTAATAGAAGGTGTCGTGTATTTTTATTAATATTACAGAAAGGCCCCAAATAATTCGTTGGTGCAATTATAGGTATGCCACAAAAAAGACGATTTTCTGAAAAATAAAATATTATATAAAATCGATTATTTTCTGAAACCTATTTTTTTTATTCGATTATTTTGTCACCTCTCTAGTCACCCCGTGTGTGTAATTCATTCATGTCTGGGGACCAGTGACCGGTGGGTGACCAGTTAAGTACCGTGTCGATCCTGAAACCTCGTACCGAATGGTCCTCAAAGAAAATCTCGTACAAAATGTCCTGATATTTTTGGATACCTACCCAAGGAAATTAAATAGAATGCTAAAGATTTTATGGCTCATTTGAATTAATACCTAGTTTAGCTGCATTCCTTGATTGAACGAAGCTTGAATTGAACATTGGCGTTTTTTGGCTACCGCGTAGGATTCAGTTAATTTAAGTGTAGTGTTGCATTAAGTACTTACTGTACTGACACGAAACTTGAAGACAATCTCACGTAATACGTCGCGTCCCGTCTAGATGTGCACTGATCCTAAAAGCGAGACAATAAAACCTGATAATCTAAACAGCCAGAAAATAAAATAACTATCATAAAACGGTCAGTGCATATTCCAAATAAAATTAACTACCTAAATGTATCATCGACTCAAGCGCATTTGGCGTAGCGCGTAGCACTTGCTACGCTCGTTACATTGTAGCTACAATGTAGCTTATCGTAGCCCATTATGTCTACAAACACTCTGTGAAAATACACGTCCCGTCGTTGAGGGAAAAGAAATGCAAAGAAAATGTTCTACAACAAAACACAGCACTGATAAACTAACTTCAAAATAAACAGATAGCATTAAGTCGTATTAAATAAAAAATCATCCCTCCTAGCCGCGATGGCATATTATCCCGGCGAAACAATGTTGATAAAAGAATTTCTGTGTTCCCGAAATGACGTGTCCCTTGATCGTAACTCATCCCAGCCTCATATTACTTTCATATGTTACTCGGTTTATACGCAACTTGGCCGTATGCGCCAGACGACGACAAAAACCAAAAATGATATGTCATCTTCGTACTCGAGACGAACTTTCGGCGGGAATTCTGCGAGGGGCATAACATACTGCCTCTCGGCCCTCGGCTGAAGGGTCGTTATCTCCGAGTGCGGAATTTGAGACACATTCTTATACGATGTCGGGACAGGACAGAGCGCCAGATATTTTAGAGATGCCACGAAGATACCAGACTGACGCCGGACGCGATTGCTATAGGTAGGTAGGTATTAGGGTTTCTCATTTCCCGACCTTTTTTATTTCCCGGACACCAAAACTCCCGACCTCTTTTTTTCCCGGGAAGTCGGGAATTTAATTTTCCTCGTTAAAAAGCATAAAAATGATTTTAAAATTAAACAAAAAAATAGTAATCAATAATATATTAGTCTCTCTTCGTAAATTACCTAAAATAATACCTTCTATGCTACAATAATTGGAATAAATATTGTGGTTATGATCTGGGAGTTCATAATTTAAGAATTTATGAGAATAATGCACACAAGCTAAACTTTTGTGAGTAAATGAAAATACCAAAAATAATCTATACAATCCAGTTTTTTATGTTTATTTGCTCAATCGGGTTTCTCAACAAGTGGGCCTTAAGATGAATATGGACAAGACGAAAGTCATGGTCAACTCTCATGTAGCGCCCACCCCAATATCAGTAGGGAGCTTGATACTCGAAGTGGTGGACAAATACGTCTTTCTAGGACAAACAGTCCAACTAGGAAGATCTAACTTTAAGAAAGATGTCACTCGGCGAAACCAGCTCGGCTAGGCAGCATTCGGGAAGTTGCGCAGCGTCTTCACGTCAAAAATTCCTCAGTGTCTCAAGACGAAAGTGATTGAACAGTGTGTCATGCCAGTGATGCTGATGACCTACGGTACCGAGACGTGGTCTCTAACTGCCGGCCTCCTAAATAGACTAGGAGTCACTCAGCGGGCTATGGAGAGAGGTATTCTCGGTTTATACATACGTGATCGAATCAGAAACTAGAAGATCCGTAGACGAACCTAGTAAACCGACATAGCTAAGAGAGTTA